ATCTTAGTGGCAGTAAGATCCTTGGTTCTCGGACCAAATCTTCCACGCCTTCTTTTGAGTGTTGCCTTGTGTCTTTGTGTTTGTTACGTTGTAACCATGAGGGACCCGGTAGCCCCAAATCCGCCCCTCACAACGTACCTGGCTTTAACCGACCCCTAAATATGGGGAAGGATTGACGCTATTATACAGGTTTGTACTATAAAAAGGTTAAACAAGAATCTACAGAGGGTCAAATTACTGTCAAATTAGCCCTTTACACCGGATAACTTATCCGGATATCCGGATAATCCTATCCGGATCCAAGCACTACCCCTGAAAATGGTGATTAAAAATGTCATACCGTTGTAATTTACTATGAAAATCGAGAATTTCATGATCTGTTATCAAAAAATGTATAAATTATTCGAATGTGTCTCATGAAGATGAAGTGATTAACAGTCATATAAATTATAATATATAAAAACAAACTATTTTGAACTAATTTAAATTCTAATCCTAACCCTAAATATCTATAAATTTACTTAAATTAGTTCAAAATAATTGATTTAATATATTAAAATTTTATATTAATTAAATATGCTCACCTATACTAAGATCAACCAGTTATCTGCAAATTTCATACTTTAATGGTGATATGTACGTGACGTACGTATATACAAGTCTTTGTATATAATCGCTTAGATATAAAAATTATTTTAGTAATAACTGCAAATTTTAACCAACATGGCCTTCTGGTTTTTTTTAGTGATTGTTTCTTTCATGCCCTTAATATAACCTCCAAACAACTTAATGACCTTAAAAATATTCATACTATTTCAATTTTTAGTATAATTTTAAATATTATTACGAAACAAGGAGGAAAGGACAAGTTTTATTCAAACCATAAAAAATATTTTGAAAATGATGGAATCGCAAAGGTAAATTTGTTTACATACCTAAACTCGAAACTTTATTAAATAAACTCTGTTCACATAGTACAAAGTTGGAGGAAAGTGGTTTTGTATGATAACCGATCCAGTGACAATAAAGAATATTTTATTACAACCAGGTAAATTTCTGAGTAATAAAATTGGATTTTTTTACTACGTAATTCTAACTCAATTTACTTCAAACACATTTAATAGGATCTTTATCTCAAAATTAGCTTTGAAAAAATTATGCCAAATACTTTAATTTCAGAATACTTTGGGACCAACGTTGTTTTCTCAGATGGTCATGTAAGTATTGGAAATTTCTGTTTTCGATTTTGTAATTATTTTAGTTACAATTTTTTTTTCTGGTAAATCTCGTCATTATAGCTTCTAGGTTTGGAAACGACATAGGTATTTTTAAATCTGTATTTTAAAATCTTTATTTTATTTTATTTTTTAAATTTGTTAACAATGTTAATTTATTTAGGAGAATATGTAATCCTGCATTTAAAACTTTACCAATACATCTCTTTGTTGATCATGGATTAAAGCTGATGGATGTTTTAGAAAAAATTGATGACAAGCCTGTTGAAATTAAAAATCTTATGCAAAAGTAATATATTATTATCCCTTATGAGCGTTGTATTATTTATTCTTTAAACTCTCATAAAAAAAAATATTTTTTTTTTAATAAGTATACTTTAGACGCTCTTGCAAAAGCCGCCTTTGATTTTGACTTTAATGTAAGAATAAATTAAAATAGTTAATTAAGCCATTATATTTTCTAATAAATATTTAATTAGAGTCTTGGTAATCCGAATAATATCTATGTAAAAACATATAATAAAGTTCATCAATTTATCTTGAATCCGTTGAGATATGTTTTTCCAATCGATTACATACCGGGCATAAAACAAACCTTCAGTCACTTTGATAAATTAATTAGTTTGTTTAAAGAAATCATTAAAAAAAAGCGTGAAGATTTAGCTGCTGGGAAGTTTAATGGAGATCTTCTAGAGTATATGATAAATAATAATGATGACCAAATGTTATCAGATAACGAACTGAGGGTATGTTTGAATTTTTTTTTGGATATCTATCACCATAAATCGAATTTTAATAAACTTCATCTTAATAGTATAATTTAGCAGTTTTTATGATGGCAGGTCATAATACAAGTAAGTAAAATAACATTTGTTTTAAAAAATAGATAAAGTTTTATATACTTACCAAATTTTATTTATAAATTAGCCTTAAATGCTTTAACAGCTATATTATATCTGTTATCAACTCATAAAGTATGATAGATTTTTGTCTTGTCAACATTATTATTCAATTAATAAACAGTTATACATCTTTATATAGAACGTCCAGGAAAAAACTAGAGAGGAAATCTTAAGAATACTTGGTGATGATTTAACGCCATCTGTAAGGGAACTGCTGAATCACGTTGCACAATGCACGTGTCGCACAACGAACGTGCTGGAAGTTCGTGCAACGATCGCATCGGAGATTCATAAAACAAATGCACATCACGTGAACGTGATGTAAGGTCGGAACTGCGTTAGCATTAGTCATTAGAAAGCGTAACGACCATGCGTTCAAATGTAGTCATAGTTAAGCAATTGTATTGTAAAA